GCTAATAATCACATGTAGATCTACAAATTGATCTACGAAACTAGCCAATTAGACGAATTTCAGCCCATGAGATTATGAGCTAGTACTCGGGTTTATTTTTGTCCGAATTAACCGGTCGGAAATATCGGAAGGTGATTTTCAAGGCAAAGACCCACCCATATTATATGTCTTAATATGGAAAAATTGCTAATTTCTTGAACAAACTAAGGGACATATGGCGTACGTATGTTACTAATCAAAAGCTCTTTGAGAGTTGTCACTTATGTAGTATGTATGTCGACATCAGGTTACTGCCTAAATTAAGAAAATTGCGCGAGGCGACTTATACAAATATAGCGATAGAGCGCCATGTACTATTTAAGAGGGTTTCTAAAAATTTTGCAGTTGGAATAAATCGAAATGAATATTATTCCTGGAATTCCTGGAATTAATTATAATAAACAAGCCTTTGTGGTTCCTGGAACGGAAAGGAAAGGACAAACTGGTAAATTGATAAATTTCATCAATAATATTATATTTATAAAGAGGAATTATTAAACAAAAGGAAAAGGCCATTATAGGAACGCACTTCTTCGCGATGGTAAACTAAGAACCTCTCCGGATCCTGGACTCACTCGTTTATATGATATATGGCAAAATTGTAAATAATTTAATATTTTCTTATTGCTTTTGGAATGATTTAGTCAATGTCTACATTTCACCGACTTGAATATCAATTTTGAATTAATAGCATTGAAGAAATTTAAAAATAGAGAGTGTCTAGGGGTCCGTCAATTTGATGAACAAACAGGAAAATTCGGTGATTATATATGGCAGACATTTGACCAAGTTGACAAACGAATTACAAATTTCGGAAGTGGGCTCTTGCATCTTAAACTAAATATAATAAAAGATGGCCAAGCTGAAAAGTTTATTGTTGGAATTTGTTCTATTAATCGTCCTGAGGTTGGTAAATGCACTAGCCGGAGATGATAAAATCAGTATATGTTTATTTGGATTGAAATAGAATCAATTGGTTGCCGGATGTGTACTGGCTATTTTCGGCATTCTGCAAGCAATTTGCAAGCTCTGTCAATATTCGACCAGTTGGCTGGCTCAAATATTGGCGGCTAATTAATCTGATTAGAGTGAACTGATACTGATTTTTTCATTTGGATTGTATTGATAATGAACAAATTCACATAAATCTCTTTAAAAGTATCATATAGTTTTCCAAAGTGCATCGGCGTACAATTTAATAGTGAGTCCGCTATACCAAACTTTAGGTATAGTATTTAAGCACGATATGTTTTTTATGGATTTTATGATACAATGATGTATAATATATATTTACATTTAATAATTTGAAGGTCCTGATGCTGTAGAATATTGTCTAGCGCATACAGAAGCTTCAATAGTAATCGTATCCAAATCACACATCAAGTACATGCTGAATCTTTCCAAAAAACTTCCTGCCTTAAAGGCTATAATAACCATTGATCCTCTCAACGGTCCGGCCGGTGAATCTCTACTATCTGAAGCATCTCGAAAAAACATCCTTCTATATGAATTTTCACAAATTGAAAAGTTTGGGCAACAACATTTTAGGAAGAACATTCCGTGTCAACCTGATGATTTATTTGCAATCATATATACTTCAGGAACGACGGGCTTACCTAAAGGCGTAATGCTAAGTCATAGTAATCTCTTGGCAGCATTGTGTACAGTTTATTACGAAAACGAAGAGCCACCAGGATCTCGAATAATCTCTTATTTACCTTTGGCTCATATTTTTGGTATCTTAATGGAAGGCTTGGCAATAAGGATTGGCTGTTCAATTGGTTACTACAGTGGTGACCAAAACAGATTGCTCGAAGATGTCCAAGTTTTGCAACCTATATCATTTCCTAGTGTTCCTAGAATATTTAATAGATTATATCTAAGTATAAGGGCTGCTACAATCGACGCGCCTGGTGAGGAGGGTGAGATGGCAAGACGTGCGTATCAGAAAAAGTTGGCGCATTTTACAAAAACTGGTGAATTAAAATACGAGGAGTGGGACAAATTGGCAGAGAAAAAGGTTGGCAGGATTTTTGGCGCAAATATAAGGTCTATACTTTGTGCTGCGGCACCATTGAGTGAAGACGTTGTTGAATTTTTAAGAGTCGCAATGGGTGTTATGTTTATGCAAGGTATGTAATATAAATGTTATACATATATTACTTTTTAAATGGTGAGAGTTTTTATGCCCCCTATATTTATTATTAATACCCCTAACAAAACAAAGATTTTGTGTGAAGATATCTCTACAAGCATCTGATCAAATTCGATGAAATTTTTTTTTATTTGATTTTGAGTCTATAGGATTCAAATGAAAAAACTTTATCAAATTTGGTTGAGTGGTTGTCAAGATATCTTTGCTCAAAGTTTTAAAAAAAAACTCAAAACGCCTATCAAAATAATTATGTTATATTCCTTTAAAACTTTGAGCGAAGATGTCTCGACAACCACTTGACCAAATTTGATAAATATTTTTTTTATTTGAATCCTCTAGACTCAGAATCAAAAAAAAAAAAAAAAAAAAAAAAAAAAAAAAATTCATCAAATTTGATCAGGTAGTTGTCGAGATATCTTAAAAGTTTTGAAAAAAATTCAAAACGCCTATCAAAATAAAGAAGCTGCGTCAAATTTTTTTTTTAAACTTTGAGCGAAGATATCTCAACAATCACTTGATCAAATTTGATGAATTTTTTTTTATTTGAATCCTCTAGACTCGTAGAATTTATCGCACTTTTCAAATTACTGTGTCCGCTGATTTTCATACATCACACTGGGAATCAGAAATCTAGAAAAACTGCCAATACGTGATTGGCTAAAAATTATTTTTAACCAATCACCGATTTGCATTTATTCTAGATTTCTGATTTCCGGTGTGATGTATGAAAATCAGTGGACACAGTAATTTGAAAAGCGCAATAAATAAAAAAATTTCATCAAATCAGACCAAGTGGTTGTCGAAATATTTTCAAAGTTTAAAAAAAATTTGACGCGGCTTCTTTATTTTGAAAGGTGTCTTGAATTTTTTTCAAACCTCTGAGTAAAGATATCTCGACATCTACCTGATCAAATTTGATGAATTTTTTTTTTATTTTGATTGTTGAGTATAGAGGATTCGAATAAAAAAAAATTATCAAATTTGATCAGGTGGTTGTTGAGATATCTTCGCTTAAAGAAATTTAATATAATTATTTTGATAGGCGTTTTGAGTTTTTGAAAACTTTGAGCAAAGATATCTTGACAACCACTCGACCAAATTTGATAATTTTTTTTTTTATTTGAATCCTCTGATTCATAGTATCAAAATAAAAAAAATCATCGAATTTTATCAGTAGTTGTTGAGATATCTTTGCTCAAAGTTTTTATTTTGTTAGGGGTATGAATAATAAATATAGGGGGCATAAAAACTAGTCCCCTTTAAATTATGATTAATTAATTTTGCTTTATTATTTATTTTATTTTTACAATATTAAGGATATGGGCAGACAGAATCTGCAGGAATTGGAACAAGAGTTCTTAAGGGTGACTTCACGACATCTCATGTTGGGGCGCCGTCACCAAGGTAGTAATTGGCATTTTTAATTATTCTCATTATCACTAATCCGATTTTAACCAATAATCCAAAAAAAAAAAAAAAAAAAAAGTGTTGAAATCAAGCTCGTAGATGTCCCATCCTTAAATTATTACAGCACCGATAAACCAAATCCAAGAGGAGAAATTTGTCTTAGGGGCCCTTCCATTATGAAGGGTTATTTCAAAGATGAAAAAAAAACAAAAGAAACAATAGATAAGGTTTGTTATTCAAACATGTGTATTTCATTTTTATAGGGTTTAAATTAATCTGAATATCACCGTAGGAGGGATGGTTGCATACTGGAGATGTTGGAGAAATTGATGACCGTGGCTGTCTAAAAATTATCGATAGAGTTAAAAATATATTTAAGCTAGCTCAGGGTGAATATATTGCCCCTGATAAAGTAAGTAATCTTTTTTCTTTCTTTTTTTCTTTTTTTTATAATATTAATTCTCAAAATCCCTTTTTAATAAGATCGAAAATGTCTATCTTAAAGACTTGCTAATATCTCAAATCTTTGTTTATGGTGATGGGCGTCAATCTTCTTTAGTTGCAATAGTTATTCCAGACCAAGGAAATTTTATTTCTTGGGCAAATCAAATTGTTGGAGGTCTAGATTATCAAACACTAGTGAAAAATGATACTGTTGTTAACGAATTGTTGAAACGTTTAAATATTCATGGAAAAAATAACGGACTTAAAGGGTTAGTTTTATTTTATTGTTCATAGCTTGTATATTATATTAATTATTGAGACATATAAATATTCATTTCAGATTTGAACAGATTAAAGCAGTGCACTTGGATACTACAGCGTTCTCTATTGAAAACGGACTATTAACTCCAACGTGAGTTCTGAATTTAATAACGAGTACATTGCTAAATCACTAGTGATTATCACCTTAATAGAAAAACAAAAAATGATAGCTCTAAAAATTAGAATGGTGATAATCACTGTTAACGAGATTTAGGGTAATCAATATGATTCTATTATTTATTGAATTATTATTTGTTTAAACAACAGGCTCAAAATTAAGAGACGAGAGGTAGCACAACATTATCAAAAAATAGTTGATAAATTATATAAAGATTTAGAAATTAGATCAAGATTATAATCACTGTAAAACTTTGACATGTATACTTGGAGTATATCGATTAATCGAAAAGTTGACCAAGTTGGAAATTAATCAATTTAAAATTTTTGAAGCAACTAATCGTTGAATGATTACAGTCTCGGATATTACCAAATTTGGATGTTGCAGATCACCTCCTTTTTTGTACGATTAGAAAATTCTCAAGGCTTCCATTTAAGTCTATTACT